CTTTTTCTTCCAATAGATTTAGTATTTCTGTTTTAATATCAAAATATGTGATCTATTTTGACTTGAGTTTGGTGCATGGTGATAGACTTGGGTCTATTTTCTGTCTTTGTCAGGTGGCAAGCCAATGTTTCCAGCACCATTTATTAAAGAGGCTATCGTTCTTCCAGTGAGTTTGATTGGCCCCTTTATTAAAGATTAGGCGGCTGAGTGTGTTTGTGGTTGTGGCTTTTCCAGTCTGATTCTCAAGTCTGTTTTTTAGCCAGTACCTTGTTGATTTTATGACAGTAGCTTTGTAATATAATTTCAGGCCAGGGATTGTGATTCCACGTGACTTATCGTTGTTGTCCAGGATTGCTTTTGCTATTCTGTGTCTTTTCTGGTTCCAGATGGATTTAAGGAGTGATTTCTTGAGATCTTTGAGGTATGCTAAAGATAGCTTAATGGGAATTGCATTTCATCTGTTCAACAATTTTGGGAGTATGGCCATTTTCACAATGTTAGTTCTTCCTATCTATGAGCAAGGAATATTATTCCATTTACAGAAATTTTCTTTGATCTCTTTTTTCAGAGTACTGTAATTTTCATTGAATAGATCTTTTCCTTCTTTTGTTAAATTGATTCCTAAATATTTCAATTTCTTGGATGTTATTGTGAAAGTTATGGATTCCTTGATTTCTCTCTCAGTGTGTTTGTTGTTTGTGTATAGGAATGCTATCAATTTTTGGGTACTGACTTTGTATACAGGTACACTGTTGAATTTGTTGATTAATTCAAGGAGTCTTCTTGTGAAGTTTTTGGGGTCTTCCATGTAAAGTATCATGTCTTCTGCAAATAGTGACAGTTTTACTTCTTCCTTTCCTATCCTTATTCCTTTTATTTTTCTCTCTCTTGTCTAATTGCTCTGGCTAGTGTTTCCAGAACTATATTTAATAGGAATGGTGACAGTGGACATCCTTGTCTTGTTCCTGATTTTAAAGTAAAAGCTTTCAGTTTTCACCATACAGTTTTGGCCATTATGTTGGCTGTTGGTTTGTCATTGATGGCTTTGATCAGCTTGAGGTAAAGGCCATCCATTCCGATTTTCTGGAGAGTTTTTATCATGAATGCATGTCAGACTTTGTCAAAGCTTTTTCTGCATCTTTTGAGATGATCATGTGATTTTTGTCTTTGGCTCCATTGATATGGCATATAACATTTACAGAATTGTGAATATTGAATCATCCCTGCATTCCTGGAATGACTCCAACTTGGTTGTGGTGTATGATTTTCTTGATAATTTGCTGCATTTTATTTGCTAGTATTTTACTGAGTATCTTTGCATCTATATTCATTAGCGAGATTGGTCTGTAGTTCTCTTTCTTGGTTGGGTCTTTCTCTGGTTTTGGTATCAATATGTTACTTGCCTCCAGAAATGAGTTAGGGAGAATTGCTTCTTTTTCTATTTCATTGAAGAGTTTGAGGAATATTGTTATTAAATCTTCTCTGAATGTCTTGTAAAATTCTGCTGTGAATCCATCAGAGCCTATGCTTTTCTTTGTCAGTGAGTTTTTAATCACGTTTTTAATCTCATTAATTGATATTGGGTTATTCAGGATTTTGATATCTTCTTGACTCAACCTTGGTAATTTGTACATATTTAAGAATCTGTCCATTTCTTCTGAGTTTTCTATCCTATGAGAATAAAGATTTTCAAATTAGGTATTAATGATCTTCTGAATTTCTGTGGAATCTGTAGTCATTTCATCCTTTTCATTCCTTACTGCATGAATTTGAGTTCTCTCCTTTCTTTTTTTGATAAGGTTGGCTAAGTGTTTATCAATATTATTCATTCTTTCAAAGAACCAACTGTCTGATTCATTTACTTTTTGTAGGGTTTTCTTCATCTCAATTGCATTAATTTCTGCCCAGTCTTTATAATATCTTCCCGTCTTTAGGCTTTGGGCTTGACTTGTTCTTCTTTTCCTGAAAGTTTGAGGTGTAGCATTAGGCTATTTATTTGTTCTCTTTCTGTTTTCCTTATGTGTGAGTTCATCACTTTAAATTTCCCCCTCAGGACTGCTTTCATTGCATTCCACAGATTCCCGTA